CGAGGTATTTTATAATGAACGTCTATTAGGATGGGTTTGAATTGCCCATTAGTACAGCCTTGCTTTACAAAGCAAAGGCCAGTCCTGAATACTGGCTTTACTTGATGGTTTGTATAACCTTCTTCTTCTTGTCACCATAACATCTGAGAACCACATAAGCATTTAATGTATTTATCCATGGAATTCCCCTGTGAATAAGGGGAGTACTGTTATCCATACTACAAACACGGGAAATTAATGTGAGGCCTGAACTGACTGAACAATGTAGCCAAGCTCCAGACAGGAAATCTGTAGCACAGCTAGAAATTGAATCCTGCCTCTTATCCAAGAGCATCTTGTCTACAAGGCCATCTCTCATCTGGCTGGACTGGTCTCCAGAAGAAGGAATGATTTCTTACAGCAGAATCACTGTTATATTCACTTTAACTGTCCCAAAATGGGGAATAGCTGCTCATTCACATAGGCAAGCACATCCCAAAGCTGTGCTGTCCTGAGCATGATGAAGTGGGGCTAAGACAGTCTGGTCCCCAGTGTACCCCATGTGCTTGGCTGGGGACATCGTTGGGTGACCAGAGGTGGGCGAGTTAGCTCCTGAAGGAGCCTAATCCTAAAAAGATTTTGAGGCAGTCTGTGAGGCAATTGTCTGGCAGAGCTGCCCGATCAGTTCATGCAAGCACCACATTAAGCCCCCGTCCTTGACCTGGAATGGAAGAGCCATTTTCACTTGGCATTTTTGCTTCACTTTCACTTACGACTTTCAACATACAGGTAAGGGGCAGCAAATTCCAAGCTCATTCCAGTATGAATATGCCCTTTGGCACAGGGTGATTTTTTTTCAGTATACCTCAGTTCCTTGGCTCAGGTGTAGTGCTCTTAACATTTGAAGTATAAGCTGATTATTTTTAATACTGGCAATATCCTTGAACTTCAATTCATCCAAATTCTCATGTGAGCTCTCATTTAAATGGAGTAATTAAAATAATGTGGATTTATTGAGACACACAGCAGGGACACTGTACCAATGTTTTGGTATGAGTTGCCAGCAGGTCTTGTAACATGTTAATTTGGGAAACTTCAGGTCTTAACTTTTTATTTTTTCCCTCACACTGCCACAACAGAGTGATACTTAAACAGCTTCTACAAGCTAAGGCCTTGAGTTATCTCCAAATTGACAGCTGCAGGCTGGGAAGTGTGAATGAAAACTTGTCTGTGTTGCTGATGGCCAAAAAGT